TTGTTTGTATCCTAGAGCCAGGAAAACATCAATTTTGGGTGAAGAGTACCTAAATACAGCTTTCAGTCAGCTATTTTTTATAGCATACAATTAGAGACCTGGCCCGTCCCAAAAAGAGTTTCTGTGGTCAGATACCTGATCTCAGTGGGAATAGTGCTTAGCTTTCTCTATGCTTTACAGTACAGCAGCACCCACCAATCCAAAGAATTAATGTATTTCAACATAAAAGCAAAACGTGTAAGACTGGAGCAGGTTTGCAGGAAGCCACAGCTTTGAACTCGCCGTTCAAAACAAAGTCGGGATTAAGAACAAAAAGTAGAACTAAGTAACTTAAGAAAATACCAGTCATAAATGCCACTAAGCTCTTAAGGAAATGGCACATTCTTTCCGTATCATGCCTGTTAAAAGATTTCACTGCAATTATACTTGTATTCCTACGGCTCCTTTCTCATTTGTGAAATGAACAGCATTTACCTCTTGCATGTAGTATTTTATGACTTACTGACGGAATTACATACAGAAGCTATACATGTATATATCTGAGGCGTAGCGCAGTTATTTGATATTTTAAAAAGAAAACATAAAGAGTTTCTACTAAGGAACCTGCAACTAATCGAGCATTGCTACGACTACAACTTCATCGACTGGGAGCCCTTACAAAGAGCTCAACAGGGCGCAATAGCGCATCCGATCCTGTGCTTCCAGCACCAGCCCCGAACAGGGCAGCTCCACATTCCGTGCAAGGTGCAACTTTCCGGAGAGCCGCTTCCCTCCCTCCGGCCGGAGAGGGACCCGGCACCAGCAGCTCGGCTGCCGCACCTCCTTCCCTCAGACAAAGACGGCCGCAGTCCTCACCGGTGACAGCGATTCGGCGCCGGCGGGAAGCGCGGCCGTGCGGGGATCTCGGGCTCCGACGCTCCTCGCCCGCACGACCGACGCGCCCGCCGCCGCCCCGCCACCCCCGGCCCCCGAGCGCCCTTCCCGCCGCCCCGCCCGGCGCCCCGCACCGCCGCGGCCCCTTCCCTCGCACGCCGCCCTCCTCGCCCAGCCCCTGCCCTCACACACCCCGGCGGTCCCCGCAGCCCCCTGCCTCACCCGCCCCGCTCAACGCGGCCCCTTCCCTCACGCCCCCGGCTCGCTCCACACCCTCCCTCACACGCCCCCCGCCGCCGCCCCGGCTCACCTTGCTGCAGGTCCTGCTGGTCGTACCAGGGCTCATCCTCGCGGATTTCGAACTCCTCCACCAGGCTGTCGGCCAGCATCGCGCCCCTTCTCCTCACTGGCGGCTGAGCCGGCGGCGCCCACCCCACGATGCCCCTTGCGCCGAACGGGGCAGAGCGAGCCGGCAGCCGCTCCCCGCCTCAGCAGGCGCCTCCGGCCATTGCCGAGCGGTTCCGGACTTAGCCGAACCTCTCCCCCTTCTGGCCGGGCTGCGCCGGCGGCAACGTGGCAGCTGCTGCCGCCGCCCGCCCCCCGCCTCCCGCGATTCAAACACAGCACCCTCTCCTCGCCTCGCCGGCGGGCGGCCAATGGGGAGCCGCCCGCCGCACAGATCGAAAGGAGGCTAAACCAATCATAAGGCGAATTCATGTCAAACAGCCAATGAGAGCAAAGAGAGGGCGGGCCCGGGACAGCCGCGCCCCGCCCCGCCCCGCGGTGCGCAGCCTCCCGTCACAAGAGGTGGGTCGGTGCCGCTGGAAGGGGCGGTGGTCGCCGGCGCTTAGGGGCGCTGATGGCGGGGCGCGGCTGCTGAGCGATGTCGGCTGCGGCTTGTGGCGGAGCAGAGCTGGCACAGGCCGGGTTGGGACAGTGCGACTTGGCGTAGGAAAAGCCGGGGCTCATTGTTGTCCCGCGCTGGGAGCGCTGAGGGAAGACCCCGTGAGGAAGGACCCGGCGTGGCGTCCAGGTGCGGGCCGCCTCTCCGCCGGCGTGCGGGAGGGGAGGGCGGAACGGGGAGCCTGCAGTCCGTAAAGGGCTGGCTCCATCCCCGCACCTCGCTCGAGCAGCCGCCGCTCGCTCTCGCCTCTTTACCGCACAAAGCGGAGGGAGCCGTGTTTCCTGTCCAGGGACCTGCTGAGAGAAACGAGCGTAACTTCCCCATTGTTAACACAGCAAAGGTGCAGTCCTGCGAGCGCCCCGAGCCTGGCGGAGCGGGCACCGGCCGGTGCCGCAGCCCGGCTCCCTCTGTGAGCACTCCCGAGAGCCTCCCCTCAGTGCTGCCCCTCGGGACCAGCAGCGCGTTTATTCTGGTTTCCGTCTTAATGTGGTGCAGTCACGTCAGAAGGATGAGGAAGACCCGTGTGTCCAACCAGTCTGTCAGGGCTGTGAGCATTGCACAGCGGTTCGGGGCCCAGAACGGCAGGGCAGGATGTCGGCTAGGGCGCCTCAGGCAACGTTTGCTATTATCTCTCGGAATCCACTTTTCTTCTTTAGACTCTTGTTCTAATTTCTTTTAGCAGTTGTCATCCTGCTGTGGGAGAAACGCAGGTAATGTCACAGTGCATCTCACTGGCCCCAACAGCCTGTTCTTTCAGCCTCTGAGTATTAACGCAGTTGTAACCACTAGAAATTTCTGAAACCGATTTGCCTTCTGTGAGTCACAAAATGTTCACCAGGGCTTTAACCTGCTCAGTATAAAGGCTGACTATTAAGAAGAGGGAGGGGATGCTCATGCATGATTTCATTGTAGTGCTATTAAAGGGAACATCTGGGGAAGGAAGTGTGGTACCTCAACTTCTAATTGAACCTATTTCATAAACAAGGTGCATGACTAGATGTACCAATTAGGGTAAAGTTGTGTCAGATCCTGCTTATTACCTTAGTCATGGTACTAGAGACCATGTTTGTGCATTGTTAGAAGATTTTTGTTGAAGGAATTTCAAATGTCTTTCAGATTTTCTATGGGGACTATTTTTTATTGGTGTCAGAAGGAATCAAGTCAAACAATTTAGAAATGACTGCTGGTAATGTTAGTGTGAAGCACTTTTATTCCTGGTGCTTGTGGAATTGGAAGGAAAGTAAAGTTTCCCATTTCTCCATTTTGAAGACCTGTGCAGGGTGCTCCAGGTGGAAATAGAAGTGGAATGTCTACCTTTCCAAAAGCCCTAATACCCACCATATAAATAATTTCATTAAGTATATTTGTGAAGGTTTGAAAGAGCAAATGTGGCACTCGCCAATAACAAACTCATTCTAATGACTTTCATATTAATATCACACTTATTTTTTAAAATAATCATTTAAATTATACATCTTTTCAATAACCTTTTCCTTCATTTTAGGTTTCTCAGTAAAAGATTGTGAAACCAAACTTGCTACAAAAATGCAAAATTTTGTCACCTGAAAATGGTATTGTCTTAACAGATGTAGAAAAATAAGTTTGAAGATAGATATTATGGTCATTCTCAAATATTTTTAAAAATCAGTCATATTCTCAGAAATAAATTGGATTTAATGAAACGAATCCTAGGATTCCAGTTGTTTGTCAGCTTGACTTTTTTCTTAGCTATAAAATGAAGTCACCTACTCTTTGCAACATGTTTCATATCACAGCATATTATATATGCAAAATGCATCCACACTTTATTTGCTCTTCAAGAGTTCATTTCCCATGGTGGGGGGATGGAAAAACTGCCTGTTCCATCTCCCCAGTCCCACCTGATCCGTGGCTTTTGTGTGGTGATTCGGAAGTTCCTCCCTTCCTGCACAGCAGCCTCTCTTCAGCCGCCTTGTAAACCACAGGAAGGCTGGAAGGAGCCTTGGCTTTCATTTCCTGTTTCTTCCATGGTTATTTTTATGAGGAGCTGCTTCCAGAGCTGCTGATCAAGCAGATATTCAAAGCAGGTGTTTTGATGGATATGTGAAAACTGCATTTATGGTAAAATAGTTGATATGCAGAGGAGCAAAGTGTGAACTATTGGCATAAAGCAGGTTGTGAAGCTCTGCATAGTAAGGCTGAAATTTCAGCTTGAGGAATCAAAATTAATAGCAGACAGCTTTCTTCAACAGATGTAAAAATGAAGAAAGTCTCAGTTAAAAACCAGATACTTGTGAGTAATTATGTATTGGGCTTATAGAATCAAGTATAATACATAATGATGTATGGTCTAGGGCTACTTTTAGGTAGCTGTTAAACAACTTTAAAAGGTAGAGGTTCCCTGGAGCTGGCTACTTTCATGGCATAGTTCACACCAAACATGCAGAGATAATTGATGGAAAAGATCAGCATATTAAAAATTTGTTGGCTGAATATCTGAATGGTAGATTAAAGAAATTTGTATTCTTGGGCTGAATCTCTGCTATGTGGGCATACATAAAATGGTGTGTGTGCTACTTGTTATGTTTTATTTACATGCACCCTTCCATACCATGAAAATGTAAATTTAAAGGTGTTTTGTTTTAATTTTTTTATGATTTATTAGGTGAAAATATTGCTTCCATGACTTCTTAACAATTAGTATTTTAGAATAGGAGGACAAAGCTTGGTATTTGTTTTGAAAGAAATATTCATCTACGTGCATGCTGCATTTGACATTCACAGCATTGGAATACATAAGGAGTTGAGTCACTTCATTCCAACACAGTCCTTAATTTTAAGAATATATAACTAGCAAGAAAGATCTGAAATGCATGCAATTACTTTGAACTCTACACCAAGAGGAGTGTTTGCAATAGCAAATTTTTAAGTGGAGTCTATACATCAGTTAGGAAGGGTTTCTTTCAAATTTTTGTCTACTTGTTCCATTGACTTCTAAATACTGATTATACTTAGAAATGCCATCTAATAACTTATTATTTTGGGCTCAGTTTCTTATCACTCAGTGAAATGTGTTTCTAATTTAACACAAAAGGAAGAATGGGAACATTTTGCTCCAATAGTACATTTCTTCACCTCTGAAACAAGCAAATCCCCCATGTTTTTCTAATTTGCAAAATTATTCTACTAATTGTTGTAATTCTCTTTTGTAACTTGAGGAAGAAGAGAGCTGTACTCCTGGAAGATGAAGATTCTCTGGGGAATTCATGCTAATGCACTGGCCTATTCTATGACTACCTTAGGTGCTGGAATGATGAACAGCATTTTTAATTTCTACTACGTTAAGCTTTTCCTAAACCGATACAAAATTTCAGAAACAGGATTTCATGTGGCACAGGTACTGTACAATGGAATATTTTGATTGCCATATGGTGCTATGTGTCAGTGTTATTACCACAAAATGATCCTTTTAATGACAGATTAATTTTGGAATCATTGCAATTAATTAGCAGTAAATTGTCTTTGACTTTAGTTAATCCATAAACAAGGGAACTTACACATAAAGCACATCATTTACAGTCTGTAGAGTAAAAATCTCCAGACTTAATTGCTGAAAAGATTTTTATGTTTGATAGCTTGAAGTAATTTTCTAAACTGATTTTGCACCTCAGCTCCATAGATAAGTTTGACATTAGTGCTTTCCTATGAACTGTTTAAGTACTTAAATACTGCATTTATCCTGCAAGTCATTATCCATGTGAGTAACTCACATTGTAAATGGTCTCCTGAAAGTAATGGGCCAGCTCATGTTTTGAATTAACTTGCTGTGAGAGTAATATCTGAGCTGTGCAGGATGAAAGCCCAGATATATAAGGTTTTGAAAGAATAGTCTCAGAGACAGTTTATTTCACATGTAGTTGGTCACCTACCTACTTACTCAATCTTATTTTTTCAAAATTTCTATAAACCTATGAATACCCATAAGAATTTGTTTTAGAGTCTGTTCTACTCTGAGTAGCTTTTCTATATATTTATTTATTGTCTGAATAGAAGTTTCTTTTAAATAAATATGCTGTGTTTGCATAATCTCTGTAGAGGAATGACAGTAGTGACAAACTCCCTTGTTTGTGGCAGGTTGTGTTTATGGTCTGGAACGCCGTCAATGATCCCCTTTTTGGGTATGTGAAAAATGCCAATCACTTGTTTTTAAAATTTTAATAGTTTACTAGTAATAAAATGGTTATAAAAATAGTAATACAGTTAGAGTAATAATGATTTGGACAATTTGAATTAGGACAATATGAGACAATAGAAACAAAGACTAAAGGACAGTCTGGGTACCTTTTCTGGGCAGCACGAGCCTGAAAAAGGACACGTGTTAACAGAGGATTAACCCTTAAAACCAACAGCCTGTTCCATATTCATACATCTCATACATGATGCATAAATTCCATTCAAACACAGGATTCTGGCTGGTCATCCTCAACTTCTTCCTCATAATCCTAACAGTGTCATCCTGCCCGAGCGAGGTGGGAAGAAGTTTGTTTCTCCTCATAATGGGGCAATAAATTCTCTTTCTTGTCATGGAAGTATTTTATGAAAAATCCTTTTGTTAGGATCTTTTTTCCTGAGAAGCTGAGAAACTTAATCTTCTCCGTGTTTTGCTGCTTTGGAATGTGATTTGGAGAATTTTTTACCCAGCATGTGAAATTGTTTTTACTTGATGACCAATGACAGCCACCTCTGTCGAGGCTGTGAGCAGTCACAAGATTTTATTATCATTCCTTTCAAGCATTCTGATGAAATCCTTTCTTCTGTTCTTTAGTGTATATCATTTATAACATATCATTAATAATTAATATATAATTTTCTATAATAATAACAACTAATATTCTAACTAACTAAAATAATAACTAATATATAATTTTCTTTTACTATAATATCATAAAATAATAAATCAGCCTTCTGAAACATGGAGTCAAGATTCTCATCTCTTCTCTCATCCTGGGACCCCTGCAAACACCACTACGCCTTCCCTGAAAGATGTAGGTGTCCTGTGGCTGCTATCTCTGTGCAAGTCCTTTCTTTTAGAAAGAAAGTATCCTACATAGCATAGTTTCTATTTTAACATTTTGTTATAACCTAGAACTATATTTAACACACTATTTAAGAGAATATGTCACTGTAGGACATGAAACAACACGAGCGCACACACCGCTGCTCTCAAGGTGAAGAAAAAGGGAAGTTTATTTTCTGACTCCAGCATTTATAGTTTTTCAAAAGTGACAGTGGATTGGAGGGTGACAGTGCCACCTCTCCAGTGACACTGGGCAAACTAGCAGTCCATCAAATTTCTCCTCCTCCATAAAAGAACGCAAAAAGAAAGTGTGTGAGAAAGTTTGCTACAAGAATGTAAACATCAGAAGGCTTAGAAAATCTTAAAAAATCAGGGTGACAAGAATTAATACAGCATTAATTTCTAACACAGCACATATGATACTGATGTTAATATTTGAGAAAAACCAATGGTAAAATCCTCATTTTCCCCAGGTACATTCAGGACAACTCCCGGCTGAAGTGCTGCGCGCGGCGCCAGTTCTCCATCCTGTACGGAGCCCCCCTGTACGGCCTGGCCTTCCTGCTGCCCTGGTTCCCCTGGAGGCTCTATGGGGAGGGTGACTGGCTCTGCAGCCTGCACCTCATCGTGGCCCTGTGTGCCTTTGACGGGCTGCTGACCTTCGTGCTGCTGGCGCAGTGCGCGCTCTTCACCGAGAGCTGCCCCCGCCACGACAGCAGGCTCAGGCTCATCAAGTACAGCCAGGTGGCCACGCTGCTGGGCTCCACCAGTGTTCTGTTCTGTGGGCTCATATCTGATAATATGGAAAACTTTGGGTATTTTCAGGTTTTCGTTGTTTTGATCGCAGCGCTAGCGACAGCTTGTATGTGTTGCACGGGTAGATACAGCACGAGTCAGTATGAGCAGAGGGAAGGTCACGTGGAGGATGCTAATCTGGAAAATGGTGATGGAGCTTTCTCCTTGGCCTCAGTGGTTTCATTGACCAAACAGATCATGACAGAGAAGAACTTTCTGTGTTTTGTAACAATGAACTTCTTCCAAGTCTTCCACCTAGCATTCTACAACAATTTCATGATGATCTTCGCGGATAATCTCATTCCTAAGGATGTCCTTTCTTCCTCAGTAAGAAGTGTCATGTATGGAGCAGGTTTTATTTGTCCTCAGGTAGGTAGTTATGCTGTATTTCTGAATATGAAAACCTGTTGTTTTAGTAGTTCACAGTATCCATTTAATGTCTGAAAAAATGTTGTATTTGGCATAAGGCATTTACAAAATGAGTATTAAATGTGACTCCCCAGTGCTCTAGAAGAAGAAAATACCTCAGTGCAGGCTGATCAAGTGTAAGAGGTAGAGGGAGCAGACAGACAGGCTGGTGGAACATGTGTTTAAGACAACATGAGACTTGAGTAGGAAAGGGATGAATGTTTTGTATCCTCCAGCACTTATAATACCTAAGCATAAAGGAATGAAAAACATGGCCAAGATCAAATGCTTCTAAAGCAAAATCTACAGAATTCTGAATTCCTTTTTGTTTTGATTTGTTTTCCAATGCTGTGTATTACAAATGAAAGACTGGGCTCTTCTTCAGGAAGTTTCTGAAATAAAATGCTCAAAATACCAGAAAAAATTTTAAAGTATGAAAAGCATTGTTAAAATATGTGGTATCTCAGTCATGGAAACCAAACAAAACTCTAAATAGCTGCTTTTGGAGAAAAATACATTCCCATTTATTTTGTGGATTGGTCTCTTGGTCAGCAGTATTTATGGGGAAGAAAGACATCCTTTTAAGAGCCCAGTCAGGGATGAGGGGAGGAATAATGAACTGAAAAGAGAAAGAGAACCCAAAAGAATAATGTGTGAAAACAAGCAGAAAAAGTATATCCCACAAATTTTGACCATACTTCTCAGCAGTAAATTAAAAATTCCTCTGTTCATTGCCTTCTAACTTCTTTCTCTAGATCTTTAAAAACTTTCTCTGTGTTTACCTGTTGGATGCTGAAAGTTAGGATACTCAAAATATGGGTATCCTGACATTCATCATAGGTGCTGGTGGTGTTGAGAATTTTTTAAAATCAGGCTGTTATATTCATTACATTGTAATGGGTTTTGATAAGTAATATGTATAAGAAGATAAATGAAAATGCAACTGGAATTCACAGCTCAATTTCAGTTCCCATTTGGGCTTTTGCATATAAAACATAGAGATCCTGAACATACCTTCTGTTCCATAACTCCTGACTATCTGTAATTTCAACTTTTGTCCTCATCACAGCTTTAATAGTTTTGGGATTTTCCGCTGTACCTCAGGCAGTTAGGTAATGAACTTTGGAAACAAATCAGAAGCTACAGAAGTTAGGAAATAATTTTAAATAATTATTTAAAGGAAATAATCTTAAATAATTTTACACTTAATATATAGCAATCACTTTTATTGATAAAATCAGTGTGACAGTGTGAAAAGAACAATCTTTCAGAAAATGCATCCCTCCCTGCTCCCCAGAGACTCTTTGTCTAGGAGGTCACTGAACCGTGGAGGGTTTGCTGTGACCTTATTTTTCTCAGGTTTTGTCCCTTTGAGCTCAAGATACAATAAGAGAATTCTTTGATGGCAATGTCCTGAACTTCACTTACTGGAAAAACACCCAACCCTTGTAAAATAAAGCTCCTTTTTATGAACTCTGCTTCAGTGGCCTCTGCTAGAATTCAGCTTCTGACTTAGGTTCCTTCTGGTAGTGGATGTGAGGAGCACAACCTGCCCACAAGGAAAATGTTGCTGTAACATAGACAAACAACTCTGAATGTGCATCATTGTTTGTATTTTCCTTACAAACACACAGTCTTAAAGACGTGCAAGTAGTGAGGAATTTTCTAAGTCATAAGTACTTCCTGAGACAGGGTTATTTTGCAATTACAGGGAGACAGGAACATGGTGTTTACAATAGCAGGCATTACATGATCCCTTAGTATTTCTAGAGGAGGCACTTTTCAGCAAAATCCCTGAAAAGAGCCAGGGGGAGAAATATGTTTTAAATTTCTTATAACAAGATATTTTTCTTATACCACCTTTCCAGATTTGATTTACCTCCGTGATCAAGTAGAAATCTTGAGCTTTTTATACAATAGCATTTGCCATGGTAATCCTTGTCTGACCATAGCATCCTGGCTTTATTTGTTATGTTAAAGCAGTGAGTGTGGGAACAATTGTACAAGGAAAATTCTTCCCTGTTCTTCATCTGAATATTACACAGTTCATCTCTGTAACACAGAAGAAAGGAGAAAATGTGGATCATTATACAGATTTTTTTTCGTATATTTGTGACAGAGATGAGGACCATGTACATGTAGATGGTGACAAAAGCCCATATAATGAAAAGAACATAATTCATTACAGAATGTCCTATTGAAACTGAAAAGTGAGGAGCAAGTAGAACTTAAATTTTGTTCATACTCTAATCAGCACTTAATATAATTTTCATGAGTTAGCCAGTCACTAGATTCTCAGAATCTGCTCCTTGCCAAGATTGGCAAAATTAACACTCAGCCATATACAAGCACTGGGCTCTGCCTTTCTGTGCTTGCTAGCAAAGCCTCTGCCTTGCTTTGTTAAAGCTGTCCTGGTGAGCTTGCTTTGACAGCTTAAAAATCATGCTTGATTTCTATAAATGTCAGTGAAAATAGTAATATCAATGAAAAAGCAATGACTGAAAATACATATTTTCAGCAGTTACGTGGCAAGATGCTTGATTTACAGTTACCATACTGCAGAGCTAATACTTTAAGAAATAACAGAAGTAAAGATCATGAGCATTAAATAATAGTTAGGCATTGTGGGGAACTGTTTCCCTCAGGATACAGCAGTTCTCAGGCTGGTTTTTCAGTGAAAGGAGACTGTACCTAGTAGAAGTGGCATAGAATGAGCCAGTAGAGAGTTGTCTTTGTTCAATTTCTGTTTTTTTATTTTGTTGAACTTCTTAGAAAGGGTCATTGTTTGCTTTTTCTTTTCTTTAAAGGGTATTAATTATGTCAGGTCTGTGTTTTATAGCTCTCCTAATGCTGAGACACTGTACTGTACCTTTTCATCTTATATGTGTATATATTATCTTTTCAGTGCCTTGTTCTTCTTAGTCATGCTTGGTTGAAGAAGTTTGGTTATTACAGAATCATCTTATTTTCCTTTTACTATGAAGGAGTAGCTGCTGCTGTCATGTGTCTTCTAGGGCAAGAACACCATTATCTGCTGGCATTTTATGTCACAACAAACATGTGAGTAAATCCACTCCCCTGTTATAGACACAGCTGAAATACTTCTAACAGAGCAGACACTTGCTTTTATTTACCATGAAGATTCTGCCTCTGCTTTCATGGTTTTCATTCTGTTTCACTTGCCAGAAAAGTTGGAACTCCAGTTACAGCTTTTCTTTTTTTCATTTTATTTTGTTTTAGCTTTTATTTTCTGCTTGAAATAAAAAAAAACCCTTGAATGCAAACAGCAATTATGGTTTGCAGGCACATGCCTCCAGTACTTTAACCTGAGATGCAAGGGAAGGAGAATTTCATGAGGAGCTCAGCAGAGGAATCAGCCTCTCTCCCCAGGGAGTTTGCTAGGAAAGCTCAGCCCTCACCCTGTGTTCCAGGAGCCCTTTTGTGCTGCACTGCAGCAGATCTGGGTAACTCAGGTTGGGTGCCCAGCACTGAGCCCATTCCTCTGGTGCTCAGTGTAAGATGCCAAGCTGCAGTAATTTCACATAAGTACATAATGATACATGGAAAACTTTATTTCAAGATAAAGAGCTGTTTGTATCAGAATACTGTTACAGCAGTTCGGTTTTATTTCTTCATGTTCTCTTTCATTGTTGTCTTTCTCCATGTTCTTTCCTGCCCTCTTTTTCTTCATCTTTCCCTCCCCACCCCATTTTCTTTCTTATTTTCAGTATTGCAGTCGTGGCCTACTCTAACACTGAATTGTGTGAACAATAAATTGAATTTCGTTATCTGCATGTTTTAAATGATGAAGATGTGTTTTGATTTCTCCAAGAAAAAATTCTGAGGTACCTAAGACTGTATGTTTAAAGTGCTAGTTGTTCAAAGTACCTTGATAGTAAAAGCTCATCACACCCAAAATTTAATGACACAGAAATTGTAATATTTTAATTTATTGTTTCATTTGGTTATTTGTTAACAATCAGCTTTGTATGTGTGTGTTTCTATGTGTGTGTTGCAAATCTATATACATCTATATACACCATAAATTCAGATCTAGGAATGCATGTAAACTATTCTTTCTGTTCTAATTCTTCCACCTTGAAGTTTATCTTCCACATGGTCATGTCTTTTCCAGATTTCAAGAGCAAATTTTCAGTTTCCCCTTTTTCTGAGGTGTTTCTTTTCTCCTGATCATTTAAAATTACATTTACTGTTAGTGTAAAGTTATTTTCAAAGAGTCCATGACCTTGAAAACCTCCCCGCTTTTAGGTTTGCATATTGGCTTCTAATTCTCAACCAAGAACAGATCTGGTAATGCTTTCAGATAGATCACCATGTTTTAAGGGACATCTCAGCTTTGTGTGTTTGCAGAATATTTGTGTTGGTATGTTTGTGTTTGAATGTCAGTTACAATTTCATTATAAAGTAAATATAAGAACTATGAACATCTGAAATATTTTGTTTTTCTTTAGGGTAATTGTGCAAGCTTCATTTAGCTTGTTCAATTTGCCTTTGGCAGATATTGTTGATGCAGATTTAATAAAGCACAAGAGGAGGTAAGTCAGTCATTGCAGTTTTTTTAAACATGCTGTTTGCCTTGTTATTCTTTGGTAATAAATTATGTAAAAGTAAAGACAGTAAATGATCTGGGATCCTTGGTACACAAGTACTTTTTGTGAGAGCAGCTTAGCACAAGTGAAGATCAGAACTTGAGTAAAGTTTCCTGCAGTTCCTTCAGAGAATTTAAACAGATTATTAGCGCATTTCTCTTTTTTCTTATACTATAATATAAGCCAAGTCCTTCCACTTTTTCTAGCTTTATTTTTTCTAGCTTCAATTGAATTACTTTGTAACCAGGTACATCTGTAATCATGTATAGAATTTTTCTGAATGAGGCCTTTCCAAGATGGAAAAGGTGTTAAGAAAGCTTTGCCTATGCTAGGTAAAATGCAGGTTTCAAAGTATTAACTGGTTCCTTAATCTCCTGAAATAAAAGTGATAAACCTGCTGCAGAATAGCATATTGCAACTCATTGATCTTTTGGATTTTTATCAAAGTGCACATAACTTCCTGTTGGTTCAATCAGTTGTTAGGTAAGTGTAGACTCACTCCTGTTAAAGAACTTGCCCCTCAAATCTGTTGCTTTCATGAGGAAAAAATTACCTCATTTTCTGGCCTATGCATGCAAGATCTTCAGTTGTAATTAATTCTCCATGCATTGTTCAGTCTAATTTAACTTTAATAATTACTCAAAGTGCACAAAGTTGAATTTAAGTATGAGTCACTTCAGAATTAAGGCCAAGCTGTGTCTATGTATATATCTGTGTGTGTGTATATATATATATATATATATATATATATATACTCATACACACACCCCATAGAGGTTTGTAAGCTTTAATTTCCAAATAAATTGAAATTTCATTATGAGAGTAGATCTGCTATAATGAGCGTACTATATGAATCCAAAGATCATGATATTTAGCATTTGCACATTCAAGCTTTTTAAAATCACAATTGTAATTAATACACTAATAAGTTTGTGTTGTGCATTAATTTGTTTTTTCCCCAAATATTTTAGATTACCACTTTCCTCTATGGTTTTTGGTACCAATGCTTTATTTACCAAGCCTGCCCAGTCTTTGGCTCCAATGGTTGTGCTTACAATACTGAATCATTATGGATATTATAACCTGAATAATGTACCTGGTCGTCCTGATATAAGGTGGGTTCAAAAGAGATACTTTGTCTTAGAAAATAACATTAAATACTCCTGTAATCTAAAAATAAAATTGATCAGCAATTACTTTGCATCAACTGCACTTCAAAAACATTAACATTTTAAAAATACTTATCAGTTGTTTTTGTCTGTGTAGAAGCACAAAGGTTTTTTAAAGAGTAAATAATTTATTAAACAATATACATGAGGATATCTACCTATTTTGAAAAGCAAAGGATACTTTTCATCCCCTGGCTTTTTGCAATAAAAGAAGAAAATGTTTGAGCTCACTTAATAGCTCTTATTAAGATACATGTTGTCCTGGCATCTGCATTTTGTTTACCTCATAAACCTACTTCCTTAAATATATAATATAAAAAGTTAATCAGATTGTTGTTGTTGTTGGTTTTTGGTTGATTTTTGAGAGAAAGCAGTATAATCACTGGAGGGAGAGACTTTGCCTGGAGTAGGAATGGAGCATTTTGGCTCCAATAGTCCTTACCATTCTAATGCTAATGATTTCATTGCAGTCCCTGGAGACCTTAATACAGCATAAAGCTCTGGTTGCTGGTTAGTTGGACATGTGTGGGCTTTTATAAAAATAAATTAACAGGGAATAACCACACTGAAAGGGTCACAGGCTGTATTTATGACCATCAGGAGGAAGTGGCAACAGAAGGAACAACAGAAGTCAGGGCTAAATGGAAAATTCAGTCCTGATTAGGATTTACTTGAGGGAACAACATGAATATCCTGAGAGCTACACAGCTCTCCTAAACCTTTAGTAAAAACCTAAAGGAACAGATAAACACAATTTTATATGAACTTTTGTGGATATAGCTCCTGAGGGAGAGAAGTCTGGTTATGAGAGACCTAACGTTAGGAGAACATTCCATATTTGAGGAATTTTCTAAAAAAAAATGTATGAGGACAAGCATGACATAAAAGAACAACAGGTGGTCTTCAGAAATGCATCCAGACAGAAGCAAAGGCAGCTTAAGTTTGAGGCTATGTGTGAGAACAGCTTATTTTAATGCATTTTTTAGATAGCCAGTGAGATGATGAGAAGAGGACATGAACCTCATTATAATGTCAAATAAGATGAGTGATTTTTGCAGAAGACTGGTAGGTTGAACTGGATGGGGATATGAGAGGGCTGAATATATTCATCTTGATGATTCAGAGAAATTCAGATTTGAAACATAAAGACTGCAGTTCTGATCCCTTTCAATCAGAGAAATGATCCCTTTGTGGATGGATTTTAAATCACAGTAGTCATAAATCTTTTTTGCCTGGTAAATAGCCCCTGGACTATAGCAAGCAACAACTAATTTATTATATAGAGGTTGAAATACTTGGAATGCTTAGTCTATAAATCCTGTGTTTTCACTTGAGTAATGCTGAAATTTTATTTATTTCACTCAGGCCAGGAACAACCTAAAACATACAAAGCTGAGATTAGTGAATCAGAGCACCTGAAATATATATTTCTCTTGCCCATCCTTTCAAAAGTAATTTCTTAAATATGAAGCAGTTTGCTTGTGTTTCCTGTATATTTGGTGTGTGAATGGGATTTCCTTTGCTTGCAAATGGAGTACAGGGTTGATACACAATCCATGAAGACCAGAAAGCTCAAAGTTGTTTCTAGGGAGTCACTTTGCCCTTGGCACTGTTCTCAGACCATGGACTGAGCTAAAACTACTTTATATATATATATATATATATATATATATATATATATATATATATATATATATATATAAAACCTATTGGCTGGTCTCATATTTCAGCTATAGAAAGACAGTCAAAATACACTTGCCCCAGGACCAAGTTGTTTGAGGACAAACAGAAATTAAATGAAAGAGATTGTTTAAAATACACCCAAACTGTTTTGGGGGGAAAAAAAGCTTTTCACACATGTGAATTATATAAAATGAAGTGTTATGACCCATACCAATACAATCTCAGCTCTGTCCTTCCTCCTTCTCCAGAGCTGGCAAAATCTATTAAGTGCTTTGGAAAGCATTTGCTTTGTTAGGTGTAGTGGCAGTGAATTGTGGAGATAGTACCGAGGACCCTTATTCTGCATTAACAAAATGTTTGGGCCCTGAATAAATATGTCTGAAGAGTTTCCAGCAGTGTTGTTTACTGGGACAAGGCAGAGTATGCAGTCTATACACTATTTACTGCATTCTGAATTATTTTTAATAATTGATTTTACTAATAATTATTACTTTTTCTTGATCTGAGAGTTTGGGGATGACACAAAGCTGGGGCTGTGGCACAGGCACAGAGGGTCACACTGCCATTGGGGGGATCTTGGCAGGCTGGGGAAATGGGCTGGAATTAGACAAAGTCCTGCAGCAGGGCAAAGGTGATCCTTCCCCTCTGCTCACACACTGTGCCACATCCTTAGGAAGTGTGGGCACTGCACAGAATTAAGCACTTTGTCATGGAAAGTGGTTTTTAATGTCTTGAAAACTTGAGCAATACTTTGCAGAATGGAATGTCCTGATTTTTCCTTTCTTCCATCATCATAGCAAAAGCAGTATGTGCCCTGTGTGGCTTGAGATGGTTTTTGTTCTTGTCTGGGTTTTTTTTTTCAGTTTGGCTTGATTTTTTTTACTTTGCTATGGAAAGGATGCCTAGTTTAAAACCTCCCTCTTCTGGAGAGCCACTGCAACTACCACCAGCTTCTCTTGAGAGTGCTTTTCAAATTCGTTCTTCAGAATGAAGTTATTTTGCAGCAATTCTTCATTATTTATTGAAGGCACTTTAAACTGTCAGTGCTTTCATACTGAATTACTGAACTACCTGACATTCTGCTCAGAGTGATTTTAGGGCTGTTTAGGGAAACAATGTATGTTTTATTCCTGTGTGCAAAAAAAGGTATATGTGGAAATTTCTGGAGTTACTTGTTCAGCTATAATTGTGATAAAATCCAAGATCTGCTCTTGATTTATCCCAGTCCCTTAAGGAAATATTTTCCCATTCCTTGTTTAGTGTATTATATTTTTTCATAATTCCTGCAGTAACTTAAGGTTTTAGAGTACAACAGGTAATATTACTTTCTTAAATCAGCATAGTTCCAGTGAAACCAAATCAGGCTTGCACAGTGAGAGTGATTTTGCAGATGTTCTTTGTGTAAAGGTGGAATAATGTTAGCATTGAAAACTGCAATCCTCTTTAGTGTGCAGAGCAGGCCCAATGCAAGCCCCAGCATCCTGTTCACTGTGTCTGAGTCCTGTTCTCATCATGAGGTGGTTAAATCATGTGTCTGTGGGCTCCCTGTGGCACTGCTCCTGCAGTCCCTGGGGCAGCTGTGCCAGGGCTGTGCATGGTGTGGGCTCCTGCCCCTGGAGGTGCACTGGAAATGCACTTGGATCCAGGCCAGTAAACAGCTCCACATGGGAAATGATTGTCCCTGCCAATAAACATTGGCCGCGGCCCAGTGGCTGCCAGTGAACATTTCCAGCCACAAATGCAATTGCCCGAGTGATTGAGTGATTCACTCCTGAGCCTGGGGGCTTTTGTTTCTCCTGGAGCATCAGCATGGACATGGTTTGAGATAAACTGAGGGCTCATTTCTGAGCCTGGCTCGGTACTAAGGACAGAATCTGGGCTTTGTTGGAGGTTGCAAACATTTTTTCTGTTAAACTGAGCGAGACATGAGTTGATTCTTTCATGATTCAGAGGAGCTCTTAGGTTTTATTCCAAAACCTGCTCAAGGTTTGGGGGATTTTTCACAGATTTCAGGTTTTTTGGACCATATCCATAGCTGTGAGTCTCTTGTCTCATCCCTGAATACTAAGGAAAAATTAGAAAGGAACATAAACTGCCTCATGGAGAGAAAGTTCACTTAGGGGCTGTTTCTCAGCTTGAGTTGACTTTCCTGATATTTAAGTAATTAGAATCCCATAATTAACAGAATGCAAGTAGATAATGGTTCCTACTAGATGAATGCCAAAATGCATGCTTTGAGCTGTCAGAAACCATGCTGCTCATAAAAGGGAGCTCATTTAATTCCTGTATTTTCTTGCCTCATTCATATTTGCTGATGCTTTTATTTATTTTTCATTAGAGAAGATTTAAATGAGGAAATGCCATGCATTCATTACAAAAAAAGAAAACTAGTGTTAATTTTACATTTATTCTTTCTATGGCTTATATTATCTTGTAATCATTTATTTTAAAACCAAATGAACTAAGGCATGATATTTCAAATTGCCCTTGAAACCACACCTGAATTTTGTGCAATTATCATTATTTCTATCTAGCATTCAGCATCTAAAACATCACACTGTGGATAGTTAGAGCACAGATTTCAACTCAAATAAATTAATTTCATGTTCAAATGTTTGCTTCCATTTTCTACTTTTCTTTCTCTTCCAAATTTTTCAATCTTATTAAAGCTTTTTGGATGCTCTGTTCTAGAATTGGATGAAATTTGCTTTAATTGATTTCTATATTACATAATCAGGAAAGTTGTGAACAGGATTTCTTAGGTTGTATTAAAATTAACTCTTTCTATGCTAATTGTCTGAATTCCTCCCACCTAGAGAAAACAATATATAATACATATCTGTATGTAGAATTAGAAAATACACAAGATATTTCTATTTCTTTTACTTAGAATTGACAGTACAATAGCATGTCTTTGTTTATAATGGGAATGATTTAAAAATAACTTGTTTAGTGACCATGGAAGTTAATCTTCATATTGAAAGCTGTGCTCTCATTTGTTTCAGCAGGTCATTTTTGGATCTCCATGATGCCATGTTCTACCTGGTCTGTCTGGTTCCCTTCTGCATTGCATTCCTACAGATCCTGACCTGGACTCCCTTTTCCATCCAGAACAGCCACCTGGCAGCTCCACAGTAAATATGGAACCAGTGCTTCTCCTGCTGAACCACAAGAGAATTCAGTAAGTTTTCCATGTGAGAGAGCAAAATTGCAAGATGAAACACAGTTTGAGCTGTTTCATTCAGTCTCTACAGACTGTGACTACATTCAACCTTAATGCTGAGCCTACACAAGTTTTTCCTAGTTCAGTTGCTTTCTGTTAATGGGTTTTATCCTTAATTACTTTATTTAAAGTAATTTCTGGTATCTAATGATTCCTGTTAACTCATTTGAAGAAAGGATGTGGCAGATCAGGGAAAGAGATCCCAACCCAGCACCTGGAATTCCAGGGAACTGTCTTTTCTGAAGCCTACTTCAGAAAAGGCTTCAGAAAAGGCTTCAGGTGGATTCATTTTGCCATGCTGATAAAATGGCAGATCTCTGCAGTTAATCTGGAAGATCTCAGTGGATCCATCCCTCATGGATGGCAGGGAGATAAAATTTAGATGGTGTCTAGCTGGCCAGTGTCAAGACAAATCTGACAGCTACCATGGGAAGAGCCAAGAGAATTAACTACCCTGTGAAAGTCTGTAAGGCTGAAGGAGAAAAGGATTCAGATGCTGTTCAGTGTTGTTCAGTATGGAAAAAGCTCAGGAAGTCCTCACTGGCTTTCAGAATCTCTGGTTGGTGGAAGGTCAGTGCAGTTTTCTGGCTTTAAATGGCAAAATAATTTTGAAGGTACGCTATAGATAGTGCCTTACAGAGAATGTCATTGTGGCAAGGACAGCATTAGTCTGTGGGTGTAGGTTCAGCTCTTGGACAAATGGAGGCACACACAGTTCCTAAACCAAGCTCTCCCTGTTCACTGGTGTTATGTTGGCTAACTCATTTGGGCTGTGACTATTTAAGTTAATTTATGAATCATCAAGTTGAAATTAGTTAATTTCTGATTTTTTCAATGAATCCTTTGATTTTTATAAAATAAATGGGTTTTGACCAAAATTTAGAAACATTGAGTCCTCTCTTCATTTCACACATTGTAATGATAAGACACATGAGCATGTTTACAGTGCTCCCATTTAATCAATATTATTCTTCCCCCAGTATATCCACAGTGTAATAGTGCAGTGATAAATACCTTTAGCATAATACAGTCACTGCATTTTTGTATTTTGTTTTGCCTGGGCAAACACAGTTTTAGTAGCACTTTCTTAGGGAGTGCCACTTGAAAATACAAGAGCATTGTGTGGATCCCAGTTTTAAAAGGCTGAGCAAGCTGATGTTCAAGGCTCTGCACTTACTGTGACAGGTAACTTGGAACAGAAAGGAGTGTAAGAAATAGCTTTGCATTTTGGTGGACACCAGCATAATTTAATGAAGTCTGAGATTTGAAATACCAGAGTTGAAAAAAAACATTCATTTGTGCCTTGACTTTTACATTTGCAGAGCAGAAATAACATCATTTCCTTGCCTTTTTTGAAGTGTGAAGTGCTTTCAAGGCGATGAATGAAAAAGAGGGAGATCATAATTAAATATTTAGAAATCCAAATGAATCCTTTGATAGAAATATGAAGATTTATGTTAAAATGTAAGAAGCCAGAACTGTGGTGAAGTTTGAAGTTGCCTTATCTGGTTTTTATCTGTCTTGTCAGAGACACTGTTGTCCATTTGCATTGTGCATGCTGTCAGCATTATGTGCACAGAGAGCATCACTTGTGTGCTCTGGGGATGGGTAAATACAAATAGCAGAGCAGATACAGCCTGGGTGTTTGGGGTTGGAATTTGAAAAGATTTCCTGCATTGGAGGTATTTATTTCATATCTGAAAGGCAGGAGTAGAAGTCAAAGGAATTTAAGTTAATATAATCTTTATTCGTTATATGAAACAGTCTTCTCCCTGACAGTTCCTTTAAAATGGTAATAACATTAAATAGTCTCTTTTTCCTTTATTGTTTCTGTATTTCCTAAATTTCCCATGCTTATCCTATCCTCATAGAATAGATCTTTGAAAATATACAATAAAATAACAGTATTGTACCACAAATAGGGTTTGTTAGGTGACTGTGTTAGTTATTTCTAATCTTATTAGAAAATAGTGTACAACTGGAAGAGTACCATGCTATACAACAGGAAATCAAATAAGTGGTTTTAAGAGTCAAAATTACATCAAGAATTCATTGGAATCATCAGAATTATTTTTTTCTGGAAAATATCTGGTAAAGTTTCCATTAATTTGCAGAAATAAGAAAGGAGTAGGGAGTGATATGACTCAAGCACTGTTGGAATAGGCTCTACAATCTGCTGCATCTCCAGAATTCTTACAGGAAATGTACATAATCAAAGGTTTCTAAGCAAGACAGTCTGCAGATAGGAGACATTAACTGTAGAATAAACCAGTTTAGAAAAAAATCTGAGAAACACAATTCAAATTATTTAATATGTAAAATATTAATAATTTCCCAGATTTATTATGCACTATTCTCCCATTTGTCTGTCCTATTTCCCTTGCTGTAAGGGCTGGAGAAATGTCTTTTAGAGCATCAACAGTCAATCCCAAAGAGGACTGGAAGGATGCTTTAAATTTGGGTGGTGGTCTTCCTCTGGGAATGAAGGTTGGCACTGTGCTGTGAGTGACATTGCTTATTCTCCATTTCTCTGGCACCCACTAAACTTTGTTATCTTCTGCTAAACGTACATGATTGGTTTGGGCTGTGAATCAAGGAAAGGATGATCAAAGGCAAAAGTTCAGTGTCTTACAACAGCTGGTTTCCCTGCTTTCTCTCCTTATTAGCCAGCAGTATCTGAGCTTGAACTCCCACTGCTGGAAAAATGTCTCCATTTAATCTGGATAATTTAAGAGTGTCTAAAATAGTCTCATAACTGATAAAGAGGCTAAAAGTGTGTGTATAGTATAAAATATGAAATGCTGTGGTAAGCTCAGAGGAGGAGAAATGTGATGCTTGAATCCCATTCTTAGAATTTCTCTATAAATTCTGAGAATATGGAACTTAATACACTGAATGAGTTTTATTTATTGAAAATCAATAAGCAGAAATGTCTGCTAGACTAAAAGGATGTTGTCCAATAGACACTAAAGAATGTTAGTCTAATATAGTGGTAATATAATATATGGTCAGTGATAGAGTGAAAATATTGAATAAATGACAGCAAAGCATATTTAATTTTAAGTGAGGAAAAATGATGTTTTGTGGAGCTGACATGCTCACTTCTGGTTTGGTGTTGTACCAAAAGACCTTCCCAGTCTCCTGCTGCCCTGAATTTGGAACTGCTCAGTAATTCATGGATGCTCTGTGTTGACATGGCTGGTAGGAATGTTTACATTTGGATCCAACTCCACAGCCTGATGGTGCTGTCAGGAAGACAAGCAGGAAGGGGAAGGAACACTTCAGATAAGGCACATCTCCACAAGTACTTCCAGGCACTTCCTGCCATAACTGAGCCAGCCTGGGGGGGAAAGGCTCAGTAGTGCAGGCAGGCAAAGGAATTCAGCTGGTTTGGTAAAGGAACACACAGCTGAGACTGGGGGGAGTCCTCCTGAAGGTCTGGGGAGACCCCACAGCTGGGATTCCTGGGTTACCTGTGGGGGAGAGGATTTCACATATCTGTGTTTACCTTAAAGACTCTTTCTGGTAATCCCTTCCTTGCTAATGTTTCAGTAACAGAAGGGAAAGTTGTTTTATCACTGCATTTGATGCCTTGTGAAGGCTGACCCAGAACAGAGACTGGATGGAGTTAAGGAATAATGTAGGGATTTATGAGGAGGCCTCAGTAAATCCACCTTGGGCAGCACAAGAGCTCAGCCAGGGAGAGCCCTGCTTTACCCCAGGTGAACCCAAAATGGTCACAAAATGCACGACCAGTCATGGGATCTCTCTATTTTATAAGTTCTGGTTCATTTGAATATTGGAGCTAATTGTCCAGTTACAGCTTTAGCTTATGAAGTCCCATCCTTCTTGTTTTTCTCTCTTCAGTCCACATTGTTTGTGCTCCTGGGCCTGAGATTTGGATCATTTGTCCTTGGTCCCCAGCTAGAGAAGGAATTGTTTGTCTTACCCACTCTGTGAAGAGAGCTCACCATCCCCTCATATGAAGCCCAGACCCACCCACTAAAGCAGTACAGAATCTTAAAAATATAAAAGCTAAAACCTGAGACATCACATTTTATTGGGAAAATTGAGGATTCACATCAAAGACTACACGAGGCTGTGCAGCCAGCCCTGAGCACACAGCAACAACGGCTGGGCTCAACCCTTTGGGATTGGGACCTTTTCTACTCCAGGGATTCAATTGATTATGGAAATTTTTGCACCAAGACAAAGAAAAACGCCCTCCAAACAGTGTTGCAGAAAGCAGAAAAAGTGATTCCAATATTTATATTTTCCCAGCAGACTAACTGAATGACAAACCCACAAAGGGTTTGCTGAGGTTGTCCAGCAGTTGGTTACAACTCCAGCAGCTTATATGCAAATGACTATAGATCAAAATTATTACCTAAATATGCATGAATAGTGAGTTCTTTATGGCTTGTCAAGAGAAAAATATGCTGAGTATACAACTACTGCATCAGAATATTAATGACAAATGTAACACTGGGTAGGAATTTTGAAAAATTCCATTAAAACACACCCAGGTTGTATGCTAATGATGCAAAGACAAAAGCTAGCAAATTTCTTGATTTATTTGGTATGCAATCAATTATCTGTATTTTTTAATGTGATAAAACCAAGATAAGTTTCCCTGTGAACAACATGTAACTAAGCTGAAGTAGTTTTGTTTACTGGTTTATAATATTGTGAGCAGATGTCTGTTTAAAAAGCAGCAAATTTATCTTTTGTCATTTTGGATTTTGATTACAAAGTTGTTTTATTCCTGGAGGGAAAAAATAAACTAGTCTGTCTATACAAATAAGAACAGGCATGGAAAGGAGAGTCTTAATCCCAAGCCAAATAAAAATAGACCAAAAAGGCATTCTAGCCCATCTAGCTATTGGAGAGAGAAAAAAACCCCAAAAAAACCAAACAGTCTTCAGTGGAAAACTGTCTAAAGCTCTCAAGTCAAAATCCTTCCTCAAGGGGGTTAAACATCAGTGAAAATGAACTGCACACAAAAATCCTCTGGCAATGTTCTGTCGTTGCTCTGGTTTTGCTGATTTCCCAGGACAGGCAAGGTTGGATGTGATCAGAGCTTGATCAAACGAGGTTCCAGGTAAAACCCAGGATCCCAGAGGGGTCTGGCTGCCAGTGCCACCCTGCTCATGACACGAAGGGGCTGGACCCGCCATCAAACCCGCTCTCAGGGCCGGCCCCGCTCTCTGAGGGCCCCTCACCATCAATGTTCGGGCCCAGCCATCACACCCGCTCTGAGGGCTGGGCCCACTCTCTGAGGGCTCCTCACGAGCGAGGCTCGGCCCGCGCCGCTCTGCGCACGCGCGGCTGACAGGGCGGTGCCGAGCACGTGCGCCAACGCCGCCGAGGCGGCCTCCCCCCTCCCGCCGGCCCTGGGCGGGGACGGAGGAGGAGCTCGGCTGAGGGGCCCGACCGAGCCGCCGCCAGCCCGCCCTGTCTGGGCCCTCTCCGGTTCGAACGCAGCGCGGCCCCGCCCGGCCATTGGCGAGGGAGAGGGAGGGAGCGGGTGTGCGCGCCAGGCCCCGGCGTGTCTCAGCCAAGGCGTCCGGGCGGGCCCCGCTGCCGCGGCGGCGCGTTCCGCCCGGAGCGTGTGCGCGGGCCCCGAGCGGAGCCGCCGCTGCCATGGAGCGGGGGGGCGGCGGCGGCGCGCGGGGCTGATCGCGCCCCTTCCCCATGAGACTGTGGCTGTGCTGGCTGGGCTGCTACACCCTGCTCCTGTGGGTGCTCAGGAGGACGATGTGGGCTGGCCCGGCCCGGTACCTGCGAAGCCCTTTATCCAGGTCCCTCTACGTGAATATGATGGGCAGCCACCGCCAGCCAGCCCCGGACGCCAGGGAGAACCACCAGGTACAACGGCGCTGCCCGCCCCTCCCTTCCCTTCCCTTCCCTTCCCTCATCGTGCCGGGCTGGGCGGCGGGGGCGGCTCGGGGACCCCCGATCCCCAGGGAGCTCCGCCGGGCAGGGGCGGGGGCTCCGGCGGGGGGGATCGGCGGGAGGAGCGGAGAGCCCGCTGCGGGCTGAGGGGGCAGCGGGCCGGGCAGCGCAGACAAAGAGAGGGAACTGCTCTGTCCTGCGGTGAGAAAGTTGCCGTGCGCCCTCCCTGCGGAACGCGCCGCCGAGCGCTCCCGGCGCTGCGTGCTCGGGGGGCGCCGCGGGGGAGGCGCGGAGAGCCCGGCGGGGGAACAGCGCCTGTCCCGCCACCCGGAGCGGGCGGGTCGGGGCCGGAGCTGCTCCCGGAGAGCGGCACCCCGGGTTCTTGACCTGCGCCCCTGGTTCTGGATGGGCACCCCGGGTTCTGGATGTGCACCCCGGTTTTTTTCAATGCACACACAGATCTTTGTCCGGTGAGCCTTGTGAGAGCGCTCCAGGGAAGTTTGCAGGTGCTGCTGGCGGGGGTGGGTTTGTAATCACAGAGGTGTTTGTAATTAGTACCGGTGCATCTAGAGGAAAACATAAAAAAGTGGGAAGCTGAGACTCCCACGAGGCCTTGGAGCAGTAGGGGGTGCAGACTGGGAATGAGTTGTTGCAATGTGATCTCACTGCGATAAAAGGTTAGAGCTGTGTTTGGGCAGTGTGGCCGCATGGGTCGGTACCTTGTGGAGAAGTTAGGGGCCGTGCCCTTGCAGAGCAATGTTTATGTGATAGATTTCATTTGGAATGCCTTCAGATCCGCACTATGTTCTGGCGAAATGCTGCTGAAAATCTGACAGGGGTTAGAAGGGCTAATAAAAAGTCTTAGTGCAGAAGGAGGCTGGCAGCTTAATCTAGGTTAAATATGCAGAAGCGAGCGAACGAAGATGTAGTATAAGCACTTGAGGACTGCTGTACAAAGGGAGACCATAATTCTTCCTGCTGATCCATTTCTGCAGCCTTCTTACTGCTCTGGGTGGACATCCAGAACCTTGTTGGGTGGATGCATCCCTGCAATTTAGTGCTTGTGGTCGGCTGTTGGGATTATTCAGGACATAAGTACAAAGAGGAGCAGAATTCAGGTTTACAGGAAGAACTTCCTTCTGGTGAACAAAGAAAACCTGAAAGTCTTTTGTGTTGTTAAAAGACAAGTCAGGGAAATTGTGGAGGTGCCTGTGTCATTCACAGGTGGATGGTCTTCAGTGGATAATCTTCATCTCTGTTTTATTTGATCTAGATTTTAAATGTAGGTATTGATTATTTAGTACATTCAGTAAGATTTATGGTTACTGAGTTTATGGGGTAAGGAAGGGTTGCATGTTCAGGCTGCTGGTACTTTGACTCTCTGTGGTTTTACTGACTTAACTAGTTGTATGTAAATTATTTAAAAGACTTTTTCATCCTTTTACTAATATTAGGCAAGAATTGCAATGTTTGTAATTTTTGTTATAACAAAGGTCTGTATACAGCAATCTGAAAATATATAAGAGATTGACACACACTGTCACTTAACTAGTGGCCTTTCATAAGTTGTATGTGGAGGAAAACAAAAGCAGTTTCTGTTCTGATGAAGAAGTTCTGGAATTAAGCTGGTTTTCACCTTTTTTTTTCATTTGAAATTTAGATTGGTGTTTTGGGAGGTTGTGGGTTTTTTGCTCTTATAATGTGTTGGAATTTCTGTTATTCACCAGTGTTATAAAGGTAGTTGTCAATAACCTTATTGGCAAGATTAACCATGAGGGATCATGGAATCATTGAACCATTAAGGTTGAAAAAGAGCTCCAAGATCAAGTCCAACCTTTGACCAAACACCACCATACCCACTAAACCATATTGAGAAGAAGAAATTGGAGATCTGTGAGCAACACCTCATTTTTGTAAACAAGCTTCTGTCAGTTGTCACCATCATCCTTCTGCCAGTGGTTATGTCGATATTTAGAAGTCTTAAAGACAGGAATTGTAGGACTGTTGTTTTTCAGTGGAGCTGCAGGTGAGAGTTCAGTGCAGAGCCCTGAGGTGGATGAGCTCAGGTGTGGTCATGCTGCTTATGGAACAAAGCCTCTGTTTCCCAAGGCTTTGTGAAGGTTTTCTTCTGGGTTGAACCTGGCAACACATTGCAAAAGGCAAATCACCTGGGCCACTCCAAACCTGTTCAGTGGAGTGAGGCAGCAGCCTTGAGAGTGGAGCTGACCCATCCCAGCCTGCTCCTCAGCTCCTTGGGATCTTTTGCCTCTGCCACTCTCTTGAAATTGGCTTCTGAAGGAATGGACAAAGTGCACAAGCTGCTGCTTTGGTGGTTTTTCAGGAGCCACTAAGGATTCCTTTTGGGAATCACTGGCCTATGCTGATTTGTTTAACAAGTGCTGAGCTGCAGTGAGAAGAGACCTGAACTGGTGAATCAGCAGTTTTGGGGATCCCTGTGCCAGGCTCAGAATCTGGGTTTCAGAGGAAAGGATCACTCACTTGTTCTGCCCAGCAGTGTGTTTGAAAGTACAGTCCAGAGCCTGATTCTGCCAGAAATGCATCATTGTGCAGGAGGTTTGCAAACCTCACCAGGCACGTTTGCTGCTCAGCTGAGAGGCCTTGGGGTCTCCCCTCTCTGCTTTGGGCCAGTGTTTGATGGAGCCCCTGTCATGAATGTGGCACAGGGGCCCTGGGGCACTGTGTGCTCCCCTCTGCTGCTGGCACTGCACACACTGCAGTGACAATCCTGTCCCATTGCAGTGATGATTCCAAGTTCCACTGTGTCAATGCTGTGTAAACCTGCCTTCAGTGAATGTTCCTCTCCCAACAAGGCCAACAAATGTGATGGGATCAGGGTTTGAGCACATGTGTGTTAAATCTTTGGGGAGTTACCCCAGCTGACAGTTTCTGTCCTTCCATGTGCATTTTTTACAAGGTTCTGCTGAAACTCTACATCTCACTTTAGGATACTTAAAGCTCCATATCTGCACAATGAGCACATGCAGCCAGATTAAGGAACATTAGGGAAGATTTAAGAGAGAGATGAGAAGGTGTTGGCTGTAGAGAATAATTCTTAATGGTAGAATGTAGAAACAATGGCTTTTTATGAGAAGGACTGGCACCAACTCCATGTAAATGTAGGAGAGTGAAAAATAATAGTGATATTCTTCATTAGAAAGAAATTTGAATTTTTTTAATACAACTTTTGTCTATGTTGGCTTTCTAGGGAATTTACCTTGTAGATCTCTTCCAAGTAAAGGGTAATAATTAAGACAAAATTAAAACCACTGTTTCTTAGCAAGCAATCAGTCCTTGCTTTGTTACAATTCTAAGTTAATGTAACCCTGAAGTTTGTTGGAAAGACTGTAGGAAAAGCTGAATTTTTGCATTTATGAAATTTGGTAATAATTTTGTATGCATTAATTTTGACTACTTCTGGGCTTACATTGCTGAACTTTTAAAATGATCCTTTATCTCTTTCTCTAGTGGTATGTGTGCAACACTGAACAGTTGTCTGAATCCCTTCAGCCTATTTTTGTCCAGAGTTACCTTGACCAAGGAACACAGATCTTCTTAAACAACAGCATTGAGAAGTCAGGCTGGCTGTTTATCCAGCTCTACCACTCTTTTGTGTCCTCTATTTTTAGCCTTTTTATGTCTAGAACATCTATCAATGGGTAAGTGAAAAGTCAATCTTGGGTAAGCTAAATACAGTTTGGATTTAGAGTTTTCAAGTGTTCAGCCCTACCTCTTGATTGGCCAGCTTTTCAAAATGTGAAATTTCCCTTTGCTGCTCTGTCAGATGTGAAACACCCTCCTGTGTTCATCATTCCCAGCCCTCTTAGTGGTGAACACCATTTCCAGTATGGGGGGACATAGGAGGTAATACAATTAATACAAGGCAGTCAGAGGATTCTAATTGCATTTTATAACAATTACTTGTGTTAATTTTCTCCTAAGAGAGTGTTCTTTGTGTCTCTTCCCTCAGCTTTCTTCCCCCCTCCCACCTTGCCCTTTCCCTGCTGCCATTTTTCTCAGTTACTGTTGTGATTGTGCTGGTGGCTGTATCCAGACTGTTCTGTATTGTACCTAAAACTCTTCCTGCTGGAGAGTGTTTACTGTCCATGGCAAATCATGGCACATTTCTAAACACTGCAAAGCTGGCCAAGTGCTGTGCCTGGTAACACAAATGTGGAATATTGTCCTTTCTCTTATTCCCTGAAACAATTCCACCCCAATTTGTGTGTAAGCTGCCCTGGAACAGATGACTTCTGATGGAGCATGTTTGGCTTATGAACCATCAGCAAAGCAGGAAAACATAATAGAAGAAAGCTGATAAAACAGCATTCTTCTATTCTTATTGCACCAGTTCCAGGAGAGTTTGACTGCTCATGGGTGCTTTAGTGTTTTTTTTCAAACAAGGCAGGGCTCTTTTTTGCTCCCCTTACCCTATTCAGACACATTTAGTAGCATATCAGCTTTGACCTTATGAAAAATGTATTTTGTTACATTTAGCCAATTTCTCCAGTATCCCCACCTCTGCACCTGCTACATACTTCTGCACAGTCTGATACAAAATAGGAGCTGTCTAGTGGGGGTAGAAAAATAGTCTTTTTCCTTATTTTCTACTCAGATGACTTTATGAGCTTCCCTGTGGTGTTCTTAGTTATGTGTAGCTTTATATAAAGGTTCCTTTGGTCTCTTCTTCCTTTCTCTTCCATTTTTTTTCAAAGGCTCTTCAGGGCTTTGAATAACACCTCATAATGCTGTTAGGAATAATAGCTATGAGCCAATTATACAGTGTGGACTGACACATGTGTGCTGCAAGGGGGCTCTACTTAAATTGGATGTAGTGTTTTTATTTTTATACATTTGATATCCTGCTTAGTTTCTTCTCTATGACTTTGTATACTCTGTCCTTTTTGTTTCTTTGGGTTTTAGTAGTCAGCCTTTCCTAGGCCAGCTCCTTTTCACTTTTTTTATTCTTTGAGTCTTTTTGTCTCTGTTTACCTTTTTTCCTCTTTGCTTTTTTTTTCCTGTTCATTGTCTTTAAGTTTAACCTGCTATCCAGCAGGAGTTTAAAGAATAGTATTTATCTACCTGCAGTCTGTTAGTGACCAGTTCTTCTTCCTCTGCCTGTTCTTGTAGCTGTTTCATCATTGAATTCTGCTGTGGCAGCTGGAACGTGTCACTGTGTAGTCTTCAAACAGTTATGGGCGGGTATGGCATTGACTTGATCCATAAGGAATCCAACTGTCACCTCTACCCAATTCCTTAATGAGTTGTCTATTTTCTGTTCCACAGCTTTTCATGTTGAATGCAGGATCTGCAGACAGCAGCAAAAGCCATTGTAACATAGAATTTTAAAAATCTCTTTTGCCCCTCCAGCAGTGTTACCCCCATGCTTTCTTTAAATCTGTTTTCTGTCTTCCCTCCTCATTCCACATCCTATTCCTCATTCATTGTGCATACTTCTGTGTCTGCAGCCATTTTATTTCCTCTGTTATTTCATCCTGTTGGTTTTTTTTAAGGTATGTAGCAGAGATTCAAATCTGCAGATGTGACAAATAAGGTTCAGTCTTTATCTTTCCTTACTCTTTCTCTTCCCCCCCTTTTTTTTTAATGCAATCATTTTCTTGAGGTGCACCCCATGAGCTCTTCCTTACCTAATCAAATTCCTTCTGGAGTCTTAACCACTGTAACTGCATGTGGCTCTGTGTTTGATCTCTTACAAATGCAAGGCAAGTTGAACTGGATTTAAAATTTATCTGAGCAGTGACCTTGTCTACTATTATGTATGACTGGTTCCTGCCAAAGCACATTCTGAATTTCTTCACTGCCTGTCCTATTTGTACAAAATTGATCATTCCTTGTTTTTACATTTTAGGCTGCTGGGAAGAGGCTCAATGTTTGTGTTTTCCCCAGAACAATTTCAAAGACTGCTTAAAATAAATCCTGAATGGAAATCCCACAGACTTCTTGATTTAGGGGCTGGAGATGGAGAAGTCACTAAAGTTATGAGTCCTCACTTTGAAGAAATCTATGCCACTGAATTGTCTGAAACGATGATATGGCAGCTTCAGAAGAAGAAATACAGGTATTGACTGAATAATTCCTACATCCTTTATATCAGAAATTACAGCAGGCAATCTATTTGTAATTTAACGAATGTTCAGCATTTTCAGTCAATTCCTTTATTGTTTGATTGTTATGCAAAAGGTTAGCCTGGTACAAAAGCAGAAAACCAAACACATGTGATGATCCCTCTTACCAGTGTTGGTTTTTGTCTCCTTTATTACCTGATGTTTATCAGACAGTGTAAAGGTTCATAGGGCTGGACATGCAGCCATGCTGATCATTGATTTAGTTTCCTTTTCCAAAAGAGCAGAAGGGATCAGGTCTGTCTCTTCTCTAAATGGTTGACCTTACCTGCGCTATCAACACATCCACAGGGAATTTTTCTCTTCAGTAGTTGTGTCTGAAATCAGCTTGTTTTTATTTAACAGATTGTATCTCTTTCTCTTTCCTTTCCCAGGGTGCTTGGTGTAAATGAATGGCAGAACACAGGATTTCAGTATGATGTTATCAGCTGTTTGAATTTGCTGGATCGCTGTGATCAACCACTGACTGTATTAAAGGACATTAGGAGTGTACTGGAGCCAACCAGAGGCAGAGTCATCCTAGCACTGGTTCTGCCTTTTCACCCCTATGTGGAAAATGGTAAGTGCACAGATTAACAGCTCTTTAGGCAGGTAAAGAAAACATTTGTAGGATCTAGTTTCCCAAATTAAGTGTTTCATAAAAGACATGTTTGTATTTGATTTTTTACTAATAACTAGTAGAGGGCATGTTCAGAAGTATGAAATCATAGGTAAATAGGCCACATGATGTAAGCTGTTTTGTTAACTCCACAGAATACATTGTTGACACCAACAAAAAGCTCAAATATTGAAGTCACAGATCCTGTTTTGCAAGTTTACCACATTTCAGTTTGTTGTAGCAACTTAGGAAAACTGGTCTCTGATTAGGGCCCTTTACCCCAGCTCTCTAGTGACCAGTTGAGCAAAACCCCCAGAACTGTCTAATGCTGAGTAGAGCCATTCAGGTCAAGCTGTTTCAAGTGTTCCAGATGAATCCCACCTAAAAATCCATAGAAGGATAACTTTCACTTTCCAGCATGAGGTCTCAAAGTAAAATATGGACTCCTACAAATACAAAGTATCAACCACTATTAATACTGTATGAATTTACATTGTACTAGTAACAGGAATAAAAAAGTAAAATTCAGTGCCAAAATTATTTACCCTACTTGGAATTTAAATAAATATATCAGATTTTCAGATGAATCTGTCCTTATGACTAAACTTCTAAAGAGACTAGGAACCTCTTTACATGCCTGTGATTGTGGATTCAGGTTGAAGCACCCTGAAGGTGGTTTGAATTCCACGAGGCTGATGTTCATCAGTCATTGTTCTGGTTCTCCTTGAGTGTTAAGACTTGCCTGTGGGGAGGCATGGATGCCCAGAAAATACAGAACTAATCATGTTCTGGCAATCACAAATGCATCAAACTGAAGGGAGAAAAATAAGCATAAGAAGGAATGCCATCAGGTGAAGAATTACTATAATACAGTATTTGAGCTTGTAATTTTGTAACTATTTTGAAAAGTAGAGTGTCTTAAATTAGTTTTGGTATTTTACTCAGGCATCTGTAAAGTATTTCAAGCATATTTGGTTACAACTTGGTGTTCCTATAATATGGAACAATATGGCTTCTCCTTGTAGAAATCCTTTGCCACTATTTGCCACAATTATGGATATGGGCCCATATGAACTGTTAACAGTGCAGGTTAGCACACACAAAAGTTACACCTTTCCCACTAAAGATTAATTTAACTGTGGGCTAAAGAAACAGACAGTTAGCTGCCAGACTGTCTTCATGATGCAAAAACCATTTTAGAATTTCGGTATTTTCATTCAGCTGTTCTACATGATGCACTTTAAAAATAGATATGTACATATGTTTTGTATATAACAAAATTATACTTGGAACATTCAAAGAGGAGAACATTCCACAGCTCAAGTAACTTCTAGCAGCAGCTCATTAAAACCAGCTTGGACCCATGTAGTGAAACTTTTTAATTTTGTAGAGGGAGAACAAATGGAAAAGTGTTGGGGCAGGTAAGGTGTTTGATCCAGTGATAATTCCATAGATTGAAGTGGAGAAATTATTTTAATCAAAATGAGATATATGGGTTATTACATGCAGTATAGTGGGATGGCAATGGTGGAAGCTATGTGAATAACATAAAACCTGCCCTAAGAGAACAAAGCAAGGTGGAGAAGAAATTAAAATACAGATCTGTGCTCACTGTTTGTGGAATGACAGTGACACCTAGAGTCCAGAGGAGCTCAGTCATAAATTCTCTCTGGGGCTTTCCAGTTTTATTTCAACATGCAGGACAACCAGGAATGCAGTTACTGCAGGTGTCTAACCTGGCAAGAGAGCCTGATGAATCATCAGGCATTAGACCAGTCACTAAGAACAAGTACTACCACAACTTCATTTTTAATAGGTGTCTCACAGAGTCATATAAGAATCCTTTGTATTTCCTAATATAGGCAGAAAAAGTCATTATTGGGTAATACATGACTGGACTGGTGTAAGTTTCTCTAAAATAAAAATGTCATGCCATACTTCAGAAGTAGTGAACACTGGGAGCCTGGGAGTGTGAAATTTCCTTGTTGAGTGTGTTAATATCCTTGTAATGGATTGACAGGGATGAGAAGGCACAGGTGTGTATTCTGTCCACCTTAAATACTATTAATTGAGCTGGAAACACAGTAGTGTGTGAGATGGACCCTTGCTTTGTCTCACTTGTCAGTTCTCATCTTGCAGAAGTGAGAAATGCCACTTCATTTGTTAGACAAAGCCTTGCTTTATTTAAATTATGGTAAAAGATGCAGCTGTTCTTTAGAAAGGAAAATGCCTGATACCAGCAGGTACCTTGTAAAAGTGCTGATTTTGCAGATTGGCTAGGGTAGTAACTGCTGAAAAAGGTACTTAAAAAGTATACTGGATAGTGTGGTTCTTTTTTGTGCTTGTGTCCATGTTGAACAGGTCTGTAAAGGCAAAACCTGGTGCTCCAGGTATTCCTGACTTGGGATGCTGGGACTGGGAGATGGGGGTTGTCAGCCTAGCAGGTGAATTTTAGTATTGGAGGAGCGGTGTTTTCACAATGACAGTTACTTTCCTCAATAGGTTTGGAAGATGCTCCCATCCCAAATGAGCTTTTCCAGGATAGTGTGTGTGTGTTTATATTGTCAGTGTTTTCTGCTTGCCTGTCTAATACACAGGTTTTGCTCTGTTTAAACTCTTCTAAGGCTCATTTACTGTTGGTCTGTAAATGTTACATCAATAACTACCCCATTAACATGAGCAAATCCAGAATTTCACCCATGAAACGAGTTTATTTTCTGTTGCTGTCAATTGTCAAACATCTTTCACATCCTGTTTTATGTAACAGGAATACATAAAAGTTTTATATAAAGAGAAAAAAAAAGAATTAAATCTAAAGTAAAAATAAATCATCAGCAGTTGTCTTAGAAAGATGAAGTCTTTTCTCAGGGTTCTTGGAAATGAAAAATGGAATATGTAACACAGATGTAAGGTATAATGCACTTGGTTCTGGTGATCTGTTTAGAAAATACTCCTGAAGAACACTGCCCTGCAAGGTTTTCTCCTCTTCCTTTAAAGCAGAGAAGTCTGTGAAGAAGCTTAAACTTCCTCACCTGCTCCTTTGCATGCAGGAGAACTGTTGAACAAATCTCAAGTGCTGCACGTGCTCATCTGTTCTGATAAACAGTGTCATCTTCCAAATCCTCCTAGGGACAGAAGTGTTTTGTTATTGAGGTGATTTTTTTTTAAGTAAAGGCAGAATTTCTTTTTTGAGGCAAATTCCATCCCTTTAGTGTTTCAGTAAAATCCTTTCTCCCCTCTTATGCAGTTGTTTTTGTCCATGTGGTATCTACAGTCTTCAGAACATGTTTCTTATCCTGTTGGCTTTTCCTAATCTCCAGGGAGCACAGGGGCAGTAAAACACAGCCCATATTTTCATATCTGATGGTCAAACCAAAGACCAGGTCATGTCAGCAGGGACTGAAAGGCTTTAAAGGGATAATTACACAGGAAAGTGATTGGAGCTGTATGGAAATAAATGAAGTGAAATGTACTGACTTTGGCTTGTGTGTCATTTGGTTCCTCCTTGCATCTCTGAATGATCTCTGTGCTCAGAATAGGAAAGAATTAACATTGTTTCTTCAAGAGAAGCAAGATTTTGAAGCAATTTTCTTTGCTTGCAAATATGTGTGATTTCTAAAGTTGTGTAGTTTGGTTTTGTTTGTTGGGGTTTCTTTTAATAATTTACATGACGTGTAAAATTATTGTCATATAAGACTTAATGGCTTAAATTTAGAATGCTGAAATAAGTTGTGTGGCTTTACCCAGTGATATTGAATACTTAGTTTAGGCTCTGTGTGTTGGAGGAAGGGAAATACCTTTAAATATATCACAGAGCTTTTGTAATAGTTTTGTTATGTTTCTGTCCCCTGCTCTGGGTTAGTGGAGCAAGAGGAGCTGAAAAAGCAGTACTTCAGTACTTTTCAAATGTAACCTCCTGAGAGCTCCAGGCATTTTACCAAACTGTACAGAACCAGACCTCTTCTTGGCAAAATGCAAATTTATGGCAGTTCTAATTTTAAATGTACAAGCATACATTTAAAAAGGGGTGTGTGTGTGTATATACACACACACACATGTATAAATATATGTAATTGTATGCATCTGGCCATTTAGAATGCTTTATAATGTCCTTGACTGTCACTCAGAATACTTTTTTTACATCTCTATCAACTTTAAAGGAAATAGATACAGTAAACTCCTAAAACCTTTTGGTTTCTCTTTCCCCATAAATTTAGGTATTGGTGGGTGGATACTCACAGGCTGTTGTTGGTGTTGAGCATATCTCTGCTTTTGAAGCTCTTGAGCAATTGCTTGAAAAATTTTTCGGCCACTATTTATTTTCTGCAAATAATTTAAAATATTTTGATTCAGTGCAACATTTTGAGTTGGAGAAAACATCTTTTTCTACCTTTTCTAAATTAGGTTTTTTACCTGGATATGTCTTTGGGATTGTTACTAAGTAGCATGTTAAAAACATGCAGTTTGGCAAACAAAGGTTTTTTAATTACATTATTATTACATTACTTAACATATACACCTTTTTTAATGGCTCTTTAAATGCATGGATTCTGATTTTCATACAAGGATATGTAGTGGTGGAGGGTGTTGTTGATTGATAGTAAAACCTGTTATTGTCAGATGTTTGAACAAAATCTACTTAAAACCTGAAGGAAATAGTGTGTTAGAGATGGCCTTTACAGAGATTAACTTTACCATGCATCCAGTGTGTTAAAAATAAATTACCTGATTTGCTAAAATTAGTTAAATATAAATTGATAACTACTTTTGTACAAATCGAAAGTGAAGCCTTAGCAGCTCAGATGTCTCTTTAATGGAATCATCAATTAATCACAAATTTGATGCCAAATATACTTCAAAAAGACAAGAAGAAGCTCTGAGTCACAGACAAAGCAAATAACATGGTAACATACACAGTTCTCTGTTGTTTGGTCTTTGCCACTTTTCTTTTGCAGCTTTGGTTTTAACTGGAGGGAGGGAAAATAAACGAAAAAAAGCAATTAAAATACAAGATGAGAAGTTAGCAGAGTAGTTAAAATTGTTGCCCTTTTGCAGTGCCAGTTTGTAGGTAAGTGTTCACTAGATCAGCTTATACCATTGGAAAAAACAGAGAGATTTTCACATGTGAAGCCTTTTTCAGTTTCTGGTAGTAGATACTGCAAATGTTTTTGCTTTGAGCATGGGACCTGCTTGAAACACTACTTAATTCTCAAAAATAAACCAATGGCATCACAGATCCACTTTTTCCCCTGAAGAAGGCTTGTTTAATTTTTCCCACTGTATTTTTCACTCTGTACCTTCACTTCTAAAGAAAAACAGAAATGAAAAAGCCAGTCCTGTCTTTATGCTCAGACAGTAATCACTACAGGAAAGAATCATTTTACCATATCATACCAGTAAGGACTGTGAAGTCCTGATTCTCCTGTCAAAGTCTCATTATCATGTAAAGATTCCTGTTGTAGCTCTGTTTTTATCTAAACACAAATTTTGTTCTAGATTTAAAAAAAAACCCGACAATTACATAACTGTTAACCATGTGCATTTTAATGGGTTTGTTTCTGTAAGCATAAAAATTTTTCCAAGTCTCTGATATTTTTAAATTTTACTAAGGTTTCCCTCTGTACATCTATGAAGAGAATCAGTAGACAAGCGAGGTCAGTCTGCAGTAACTTTACTGCAGCTCATAAATACTTTTACATGAATTTAAATTATTATACTTTTACTGGAAGTTTATACTCTCAGGATAATTATAATTTCAGAATACCTTTTATTTTAGACACTTTACTGAAGAAATTAAATGTGGTTCCTGTTGAGAGTCCAGGTATGTGCCACACAGGAGTTCACAGATGTGTGTGTGCAGCACATGGACTTCAATCAACCTCCTCTTTAAAACTCAACCATAATAGTTATGAAAGTTAGAAATGTGTTTTTATTCCCCTTATGGAGATGTTAAAACTGCATGGATTTACAAATGAACAAAACCAGAAAATCACTCTGAGCCTACCTTGTAGACCACAAAGGAAATGAGCACAGCAGAGCTGTACAGGAACAGTAAGGTTGAAGCAATGATCATGGAGATGAGTTTTCCATGGCTGGGCTGCTTTCCTGATCCTTTATTAAAAATGAGTGTTAGAATAAAGGGCAGTTCTGATTCACTTAATTTTTTTAAGACTCTGCATTCCAACCCCCTTTCTCTGAGGAATTAAAAAACCATCTACCAGCAATATTTTTCTGGGTAATTTTCAGTCTAAATTCCTAAATGAGATCATTTTCCTTTTGTTCATTCATATGTTTGCAAGGGCAATGGAGACCTGTTAGTTTTGATTACAAACCTTTCCTATAGGGGTAGAAAGAGAATGGCATCCAGTGTTCTGTTCCTGTAAAGGTATATCTGAATAAAGCTCATAGACTTCTGTTCAGAAATGGAATTAGAGAAAGGAAGGAATATAAAGAAAGTAATAATCCAACTGAGTGTTTCTGGGTTTTTTTTCTTTTTCTATTTCAGGCTTGTAAAACTGAAATGTTACTAAAGTTTCATCACTTTCTTAACTAGAGGCAAGTGATACAAAGGTTTGGAGCATTTTTCTCAGGCTGCCAGTGTGAATCCCCAGGTCTGAGGCCCTGCACTCTCTTGGCAACTTCTACTAAATGTTGGTTTCTCTACTTCCTATTTTCCAGTAGATACTTCTTTCTGACAGCCACAAAAGTCTTTCTGTAAGAGGATGTAGAGTGTGGTTAGACAGCAATAAGTGCAAAACTTCTTTCTTTTGTAGAACTCTAGAGTCATCTTTATCATATGACAGAACAGCCTAATTAGCAAACGAGGTTGAGATGCTTATTTGTGGAATCCCTCTGGTTTTACTAATAACATCTTAATATAGCCATACTACTCCTAATGGGTTTGTTGGTATTTCCACCTTAAATGTCATTCTTGAAAGTATAAAGAGAGTATTTAGAAGATATAATTTATTTCTTCTAAGATGCTTCATTAAGAAGGAATAATCAACTGACCTGTTACTGTTAGTACTGTTCCATCTCCTGTTTGTTTAGAAAGGGGTGACGAGTCTGAAAATGCTATTCCACAGATATAAACAGCGCTGTCATCTTCAGTCAGATCTTTTATCTGAAGTAAGATGTTGTTTCCTGCTGAATGTACTTTATACTTCTGATGATCTGTGCAGCCAGGAGTACACAAACCCTGATGTGTGTTAGTTAAAAAGCGAAACCACAGAACTTCAGGTTGGGGTGAGGAGCACCCAGAGGCAGAGAAGGAGCAGGGTAGGGACACGTTCATGTAGGAGTCAGCCTGCTGAAACCTGGGCTGGGCCACAGTGACTTGGCAGTGACCTGCAACACCTGCTGGGAGGGAACAGTTGGTGATGGGAGGGACAACTAGAAAACCAGGTACAGTCTGAAAAGAAAAAACAGCTGCTTTTGGTTCATTCAAGGAAAGGCGGGCAGAAAGGAAGAAAACAACTGTGTTTCAAACTTGAAATTATTAAGGTTGTTTGTTTTTAATAGTTCCTATAGCTTGCACATGTGCTCATTTAACACTTTTATCTACAGGGTGATATGCTTGGCTTTCTGTTTTTTGACAAAATAGAGAAGATTGATAGATCCAAAGCAATGTGAATGTTTCCTTTGGCACTGGAGAAGAGCAGAAGAATACTTTGTGCTGTTTCTAGCCTGAGATGTAGTGCTGCCTGTTTGTGGGGGTACTGGCCAGTGGGGGTGGGTGTTGTGGGACATACATGCAGTTGCTCAGGGGAGCAGTTCTGCAGGGCTTTCTCTCTCCTCCACTGTTCCTGGTCTGAGTCAAACCAGACAAGCTGAGGGCAGGCAGTGGAAATGTCATAAATCAAGACATTTATAATTTAGCAACTTCATAACATTGATTAGAATTCACAATAGTTCCTAGATATTCTTCCACTTCATCACATATATTGACTCTGGGTTTCTAAGAGTAATAGTGCTTGTTAGTCCTGACATTTAAAAATGTGTGCAGAGAAAACAAGAAGGTTAATCAGAGAAGAGCATTCTAATTAAGGAACTAAAATGTGTGGTTTAGTATGACTAGTCTGGAAGATTTTTTTTTAAGTTTTTATTGAAATCCATGTGAATTCTGTGTTAATATATTTAATTTTATTCAAATAAATTATGTAGTTACTTAAACTATGGCATTGAGCTTATTGCAGTGAGAATAAAGGTAGTATCTAAATAAAATCCTTTTCTGCTTGCCAGAAAATAACAAACTAGAAGATAAATAAACTGACATCTCTTAGTGTACTGCTGAGACACAATTTGTAAACCTGCCCATGGTGAACAATTAGCATTGTCCCTTCACCATTTTTCTCACTAAATTCAATCAGAGTCAGTGGCTGTGACTTCTACAGGAATAAAGTGAAACTGATTCTGTGTCAGGTCCATACCAGAGCCATTCCACAGCAGCTACAGCAAGCTGAAGATTCTAAGTTGTGGGTGTACTTGTACCCTATGTGATGAAAGGCAGTAGCTTGTGCTTCTGCAGCTGATCCCTTCTCATTTCCACCTTATCCAGGGGCTCTGGTGTCCTTGCGGAGCAGAGCTCCATGGCCTCCGGTCACAGGTGCTGCCTGCTGGACTTCCCAAACCCTCCACCCAAACACAGTGCTCTAAAACCAGGCTGCTGCTGGAGTGTTCCAAGCAGGAAACTGCAACAGGATTTGACCCAGAAATTACAAGTTACAGCAGCGTTTCAGACTTTTGGAAGAAAAAGGCATTTGCTAGCAATTGTGTACTTTGGGAGTTATATGACAACAGCAGAAATTAACCTGATTTTCAGCAAAACTTTTCACTGCTTTTCTTTTGTAGCTGTGCTGCAAACCATAACCACAAAATTCTCAGTCTTGTTTAACTGCTGTTAAGTGAGAAAATGTAAGAAATTTTTGGAAAGTCTTACCAGCACCATACAGGATCCAGTCAAATGCCAGCATTAGCACGTTTTTAAATTTGTTGAAAGATGCCATTTCTTGTATCTCTGTGGAAATGACTCTTCTTGAAGGAAGAGGAACTTAGGAAATGTTTGGATTTGCAGAACTGTCTTAATCACAAGATATAGAACTTCCTGTTTAGAAGGGTGTTTACTACTGCATTTAGCAAACTGGTTAAAGGTACAGACCAAACAGAAAGCTTTTGTTTGTTGTGGATGACATTACTTGGAAAATGAGTGAAGAACTTGAAATTTTGAATTCCTGAGAGTTGTACCTATAATCCTTCAGATTATTTCATTGGATATAACAAATAACAAGACATTTTCCAGCATGGTAACATCAGCTTCTTAATTGTATATGACTCTAAGCAGCCTTTAGCAGATCAGCTGGTAGGTGGCCACTGAAGGCACAAAATAGCCATCCACTGTCATGGGGTGATCTGCTGGTGAAAGCCTCACAGCAAATCATAGTTGTCAACTTGCTGAGTCTAATTACTGTAATTACCTCTGTGCCTGTCTGCTGGACACCAGCCTCACTAATGGCAGTTACCTTTTAGCCACTCCTGGCACTTCTAGTTTAAAAATGTAACAAAAGATAACCTTAAAGAAGCTGCTTTTGAACAGCAGGGATAAACTGGAACTGATCTTGCAACAGGTCTATGAGTGGTGTGGCAACCTCCTGTGTGGAGTGGAATGAAACATAATTAGTGTAATTATGCTTTCTGTAGGAAAATGCAGCACACAATAAAGTTTTCTTTATAATTGAAACAAAACTGTTCTGTTCTCTCAGTAGGTGGCAAGTGGGAAAAGCCCTCAGAAGTTTTGGAAATCAAAGGGCACACTTGGGAAGAGCAGGTGAACAGCCTGCCAGAAGTTTTCAGTAAAGCTGGTTTTGCCATCGAGGCTTTCACCAGACTGCCCTACCTCTGTGAAGGTGACATGTACAATGACTACTACGTGCTGGATGATGCTGTCTTTGTCCTCAAGCCAGTGTAAGCCTGGGTGAAGTAAAGCTCCACAATCTAACCCAAGAAGCAGCCTCTGAAAGAGGATTTTGATTTATGGTTACTTAAAGGGAGGGAATTTTGAGATTGTCATGCTAAATAAATACCATGTAAGAAATTTAAAGGCCAAAATAATAATGTATTTCTTTGTAGTGTGATTGGGGGGGGGGGGGGGGGGGGGGGGAAGAAAAGGTTGTTTTTTAAATGGACTCCTCAGCTGAGTATTTCTTTTTTACCAGCTCTTAAACCAACATTGCAATCTGCAATCCAGCAGCAATGGGGAATATTTTTTTATAATTACCTGCAACAGGGATCATATCCAAACAAAAGCAATAGTCTTTATAATGGTGAAACTGACAGTGTGAACTGTTGTGAAAGAAATCAAGCAAAATATGGCAATAAAGTTATCCATTCACTTCAAGCCTTGTTAAATGAAACTGTTGAAATGGATAATCTTCCATGCTAAGTTACTTTCTCTCTTACTGTCATTCTTCACGTTTTTAATCATGCTAATAAACTTTTTTGAGATGACTTTTGCATTAATTTTTGTGTTCATTTTTGTAACCATAGCCATGCTTGCCTGCAGCAACTGCTGTTTGTGTTGAGAATCAAGCTTTCAGTAGCAATATAACCTTGCATTTATTTCAACAGCATTTAATTATTGTTTAATGGGATAACAGTGCACAAAAATGTATCACTTTTGGTTGGGTTTCCTTTATGTTCTTCCCTATCAAAGCCTCATAAATCCTCATTGCTTTTGCATTTGCCATTTTCCAGCTAATGGGGTTATGGTAGAACTTGTCAAAACTGCACTTTAGGTTGATGGCTTTAAAAACAAACCCTCTAAGCAAGTTGTTGCCAAATGTTTTCAGCTTTAAAAAGTTGCAGGTGGTTCCTTGCAAATTTTCTGAGTCAAACTGCCTGCGATGATCAGGCTCTAGGGGCTTGATCATTTTCATTTTAGCTAGCTTGAGACATTTTCCTTTCTTCAAAAGCACTAAATTAATGCTATTTATTTTAACGTGTCTTGTTTTAAAAACTGTTTTAAGTGGATAATTTCTGGCAGTTGGGATATAACTTCTCTTTAAAACAAGAGACATCATAAGTAGACCTGGCAGGTGTATGTCATGCAGTGCAAGTGTGAGAGAGCAGAGAAGCCTCAGGTAAGCAAAGTAAGAACTGACTTCTGTTGCTTTTCAAGTCTAAAAAAGTTGTCTGTTGTGGGGTTTTTGTGGTTTTTATAATTAATGCTGATTTTATGCCAGGTAGGATGCTTAACAATGTCATTTTAGGTTTACCTCAAGCTGATGGTTAATGATTTCTCCTGCCAATTTATTAGCTTTTTGTTGTCAGTCATCTTTGTGGAATCGTATTCTGTAGTATAGGGCAAGGGATGCTGAAATTTCAAATTACTTTTCAACAGTAATTTAGACTCAGTGTTATTCTCATTTCAGGATGTGCTGTTGCATTTTGGCACGTAGTGCAGTCAGATTTGTCTGTTGGGAAAATGAGCTGTGTATGCTCTGGACTGAATCCATTAATTTATCTTCTGCTACCTTCATTTTATACTCATCTAGTAATGGGAAGATGTTTTTTAATGTGTCATTAATTTAGGTTAAGGTAGCAAATATGAAGTAAGATAAACTTCTTCAAAGGTACTTAAGTGTTTTAATCCCACATGTTAAAAATCACACAAGAGACTGTATTTCATGTCTCTCATCTTTTAGTCCTGTCACTGAGGATTTCAGTTTGTAATGGCTTTGAGAGGTTTGGGAACAGAAGGTGCAATGTAAACAATAGGGCTTTTTTTATCCTTTTGTACAATTTTCTACTTTGTTCACTCTATTTAACCAAGTATTCTTACACTTGAGATGAGGAATTAAAAGATGACCAATGATGAAGAAAATCTTGCTACAAAGCCTAAATTCAGCAGGGTCAAACACCTGCTTCGACCTGTTGAATAAACAGAATAACCCCCAGGACTGTACCTACACCTGCAGGTACAGTATTTCTGTGCCTACACCTGTATTTCTAAACCTAAACTGTACCTACACCTGCATTTCTAAAGCCAGAGTTCCTTGGGAGGGAAGGGACTTCTTCCTCCCAGCAGGCACTGAGAGCATTTGTGTGCAGTCAATGCTGCTCACAGCCCACAGAAAGAAACTCATGAGTCCAATAGTTCATTAAATTGCCCCAAATTTAGAGGAACAAGTGTTGCAGTTCCAATGTCCAAATTCATTACTCCTGGGTTTGGGAATCCTGCCGTGTCCTGCTGTGGGTGCGAGTGTCCATCCAAGCTGCACTGCAGTGCTCTCAGTGTGCAGGGGTTTGCTCTGGAAAGTGGCTGAACTATTCTGTTCTGTTCTCTCACGGTGGGCCGGGTGTGTTGCACTGCAGGAAAACGATGCTGTGCCACATGATTTAGCCAGAAGCTTGGAACAGCTTCATCCCTCAAAACCACAGCCCCCTTTTGCCGGGTGATCCCGGGTACAATCAGTTCATGCTCTGAGGGACCCAGGGCCACCTTCCCCTGCTTGGGCTGGGTAGATGGGGGCAGCAGGGCAGCTCCAGCCCTGTGTTCCCCTGCACAGCTTGGTGAGCTCTCTTCACCTCGGACAGAAGCGTCCCCTCCTGCCGGCCCCGGGAGTGCCGAGCCCCCGCGGAGGAGCCGCTCCGGCCCGCCCTGAGGGCCGGGGCGCTGGGCCGGCGCCTGAGGCCGCAGGGCGGTGCTGGGCCCGGCCCCGCTCTCAGGGTCCCGCTGGAGCCGCCCAGCTCCTGCAGAGCCGGGGAGGAGGCGCACACGGCGGAGGCAGGTAAAGCTCTCTGGGGGCCTGGCCCTCCTTCTCTTCTCCTGCCCGCTCTCCCTTTCCAGCCCGCAGCCTTTGAATGTGGTGCTTTCCCTCAGAGCCCGGGTGCCAGGGGAAGGTGGGCACGAGCAGTGTAAGGGCTTATCAGCGTGAGTTGTGATTGTAAGGTCAGTTTCTGGTTATCGAGCTTCAGATAAGGCAGCGACTGCATGGGGTGAGTGATAAAATGTCTAGGATTTCTGTCCATGGAAGGGTGGCTGTTCTGGAGTGAGGGGAGAAGGCAATCTGGGAGTTTCTCAGGAGCGGGGAGTCCGGCAAGGCTCAGAAATCTCATCACAGCAAATGCAAGGGATGATCTCTGGGGAAATGCTGGGTGGGATCTGCAGGAGATCCCCAGAGCGGGGTTTGGGACTGTCTGGAGGTTGCTGTGAGCTGCAAACTGTCCTATTTCACTGAAAAAATGAACTATTTCATCCTACAGGTTGTCTTGCCAGGCAGGGCTTTCCACAGCCCTTTTTGTGCCCTGCTGATTGTCCCCTTGAGTTAGTCAGGATGAAAAAGCACTTTCCTTAGCATTTAATCTCCTTAGACATTAAGTTAGCATGCTTTAATTAAAATACACTCCCTGATCAAAGCGAATGAATTGGAATAAACAAATCGGGAGTGACATTGGAAGCATGATTTAACCTATGCAGAGTAATCAAACTTTACTGGAAAATTATTAGGGCACAGGCAGAAACAAACACAAGTAAGTTCATTGTCTAGGAAACCAGATACATCTGAATGAGAGACATTTACTGTGGTGCTCCCAAAAGAGTGGCTGAAAAGGGATTCAGGTGTGTAAGAACAGGACAGAGGTGATAGCTTCTTGAAGTCTAAAAGTTAAATTTTTCATCATCTGTCAGTTTGAGTCACTCCTGTTACAAGATTGGAGTTAAGTATTTGCAACAGACTGAGGTATTGCTGGAGGCTCGTTGAAAGATATTTTTATAAAAGAGTACCTTGGTACGTGAGATTAAACAGTTCAAAAAAGGTGTCATTTATCAAATATTCAGATCTGTAACTCGAGCTGTGGCAGAGAACTTTAGGGGGGAAAAAAGAGAGAGCACAGAATTCAGCAACAAAAAGAAATGCAGAAATTCAGTGTCTTGCAAATAAACCTTTGAAATGAGGGAAAGGGGACAAAACCTAACAAAGTGTCCTTATGCTCAGAGCCAAGTGGGCCAATGAGACCCTATGTGTAATTTGTTAAATCAGGGACTAATCCCAGTGTAAGAAGTTGCCATCTGTGGGTCAAGGCATGATCTAATATCTCAGATTAATTTGTTGGTTTACCTGTGGGGGTGGTGGCTCTCAGGCTGAGCAGGGGGCCAGGCAGAAAATCCCCTCTGCAGTGTGGATTGAAGCAGCTGATGGCCCTCAGAGCTGAGGAGGGGATGTGGCTGCAGAAACTCCTGTGTGAGTGAAACCTGCCCAGTCTTTCCTTCCTTCCCACCCCGTTGCATTAGTTCTGGTATATCCTTGTCCTTCAAGATCCAGACCAAAAGCAACATGTTCATATTGTTTTGGACAACTGTGGAACTCGAATTTTTTCTGGTGGCAATCAGTGACAACCCAGTGAAAAGCTCTGGGTACCCTGTTACTGCCCTTCCAGAGAATTTATCTTTCAGTGATTTTTATGCTGCACAGCACAGGGCAGCAGGGATAGCAAGAGCTACCAAAACATCACTTTCCACACAAACTGTGGCTGTGGTGGTGGTGAGAGTTTGATGGGACACTCTTGTGAGTGCAAAGACCACAGCTTTTATCTATCCAGATGAAGTGACATGGTCACTTTCCCAAATGTGGGACTTTGCTTCAGAAGATCATAAGGATTTTTTCTCCCTATTTGCCAAAAGTGGCAGCAGGGAAGGGGAGTGCTCCATCCCCTCCCTGCAGGAGCACCCTGCAGGGGACCAGGGCCAGGCTGTGCCACCCCTGAGTTCAGGGATCTGCAAATGGAGGGTCCCAGAGCAAGTCTGCAGTGATATTGCAGCTTAACCAGCTAGGAAGAGCTTTGGGTTTGTTTGAAGCTTCTTTATAATTTCCTTTTTCATTCAATTTTTCTTCTGTTTTGTCTGATTTTAAAAGGATTTGTTTGCCTGTTTTAACAAAACTGCATTGAAGTCATACTTAGGTGCAGTGTAACTTGGTAAATAAATGGTGCTACAAAGAAGAGAATTAAATTAGCCACTTGCTACAGGGAGATAAATCTGTCTGCACACACACTCTTCATGGACTTGTGTTTGCATGAATGTATCTCTATCCTAGAAAAAGATCTAAATTAAAAACTTGGGAGCAAGCAGCTTTGGATTGTTCTGATCTCT